AGTGTAGCTGTCTACTCGTTCGACTACTTCACTCCTTATCAATATATGCACAAAATACTGAATGCTACATGACAAGCAATTGGATTGATTATTTTACAGAGTTAATTTTTAACTACTTAATTAATTTTTAAGTAGTAAAATCAAATTCCACATTTTTCACCAGCCCTAAACGATCTTATCATATAAATGCTGTAGTTTTATGAAATGATGTCTACAAAACTGATTACAAATGAGATATAAGTGTTTTAAAACAATGTGTTTTACAAATTATTCCTTCCTGTATTTGTAACTGTGAATAATAATAATAATAATAATAAACTATTTGAATAATTTTTAATCAAATTGAACTAGACAAATGAAATTACATGGAAAAACCACGTTTTTTTTATATTTTTCATTGCAACGTGAACAAAATAAAGTGAGATAAAGTTTTGTCATGGAAAGAAAAAAAAGGGCAAAATGTTTTATTTTTCCGAATAAAAACTATGTTCAGCTATCTGATCAGATAAATCGTGTTATTATTATTATTATATATGTTATCCGTATCAAAATTTTTTATAAAAGTCAGGCTTTTAAAATCCCCCCAAAAAAGAAAAACTGATTATCACACGTTGAATATGACAAATGTCCAAATAGAACATCATAGCCTGTTTTAGAGTAAAAAAAAACATTCTTTAAATTGTTAGATGAAATGAAAATTCAATTTTCAGTTGTTTGAAAAAATCTACAAAAAAAAAATTTTAACATTGAAGGGAAAAAAAAATTCGAAAAGAGGAGAATTTCAAGTGGGATTATTTCAAATGATAAGTGTAGTTGTTTCCATGCTACTTATCTCTGTGTAGATTACATCATCAACAGAATACAAGTACATTAAAACACGATGAATATTTTTGTTAGAAATAAAAAAACTAGAATGAAAAATTCTACATTATGAATACATTTGAAGACAATGCGTAATTCTTCACAGAAACATTGATTACAAACGATTGTCCGCTGAAATTCTTCAATCGGTGTAAAAAGCCATTAAGACGAAAACCTGTTACTTTTATTCTGTGGGAAAGAAACGCGTTTATATCTTGTTGCTAATTAGAAGTGAATCAAATGGTTTCAATTTTAAGTAGCCATAGAAAAACCATACTATATCGTAAAACTGATTATAACTGAAAAGACTAAGCCCATGATTGGAGATAGATTTAGACATTGCTCGAATGATTACATCACATTTCATGACATTTATCGGTTTACATGTTTGCGTCGACATTTAAACAAAGGGAGAATTAATCAGACCTTGCAATCAAGGGTTATGAAACAACTAACTCAGTGGCTTCAAAATCATTTAACGTCAGACTACCTGACAAACGTGTGATTAGAAAAACCACGTACATAGATTTCAAAATGTATAATTGAGACGGAGCATATGACTGCCATCAAGATAGCTTTTAAACACATCGTTTAGAAACGTTGAAGGACAAATTTTGAGGTTTATGGAAACCTCCCTCAAAAACACACAAATAGTTTGTTATAATCTTGAACTTACCCTGATCATCTTTAAGTCATTTTTATGACCTAAGGTGATGTGACAATTTACTAACCTTTCTTATTCTTCCTATTTTTCGTTAATTTTCTATCTCCTTCATTTACAGTTATCACTTCAATATCTGTTTGAACTTTTATTTAATTGACCTTTTATTAATCTTCATTTAAAATGCCTGGACAAGTGTATATGTGTGTGACCAATTTGTTCAAAATGTGTATAGCGAAAACGCATCACTTATTTTCAGATCAATTACTTCTTCGCACTGTTCTTTCATAATTGGCAACGGTCAAGATATAGGAGATTATACATTTGAACTAATGAACACATACACGTTTTATAAAACTGAATCAATGATGAAAAGACCGAAGGTCTTGGGTTTGAATCCTCCGAAGTGCAGAAGTCGTGGATGCACCCTGCTAATGAGTCTCATATTTTAGGACGAAACGGCCGTCCAGTGCTTTCAAGTTTTCTAATTCTGGTCTGATAATGTTTGATTTATGATTTCAACTCTAAATGAAAAAGCAGTTATATGAAAAGATTACAACTAATATGTTACACACCATTTAGTGTTCTTCTGCAACTGCAAATCGGACAGCATATGAATTGGAAAATAATCTAAACGAAGAAGTTAGAATGCCAGTTTTTAGTAGGAAAAAAAGGTGAGCAAACTAATTGAAATTGTGAAAAAACCTTGAATAATCATCCAGGAAGCCATCACCAGAAAGATACAAGTGTTTATTAACAGATATCTACGTAAAATACTTCAGATCCGTTGGTTAGACACTAGCAGCAACAACCTGCTGTGAAAGAGAGCAGACCAGATTCCGGCGGAAGAAGAAATCCGGAAGAAGTGCTGAAATTGGATGGGACACACACACAAGTCCTCACTTGAAATACCAAATGTCAAAGGAAAAGAGGAAGGTCAAGGAATATATTACGCTGAAAAATGGAGACCGATATTAGACGAATGAATAGAGGTTGGACAGAACTGGAAAGGAAGGTAGGGACAGAGTTGGTTAGATAGAGCTGGTCGATGGCCTTCCCTCCACTAGGGGTAACAGGCGTAGCTAAGTAATACTGAAAATTGTTAAAAGTCAAATTTATCTAACAGTCACATTTGCAACACTGAAATTCATGCCTTCAATTAGTTAGATGTGTTTTAGTAGATTCGTTGATAAGTAATAATTATAAACATTTTCTAACACTTCATCAGTTGAGGTGGTTGGGACATGTGTTACAAATGCATAACCACTGATTGCTTCGTCAAGCTATGTTTTGCAGTGTTGGAGTAGGTTGGAAAAAAGGTATGGGCGGCTAAACCAAAACATGGCACAAATCCAAGAAGTAACTGACAAGTGGATTGAGTGATGTTGGTAGGTGTCGGCTACCTAGTTAGGGCCCGTGAGATGATAACCGATGGTTACAGACTTTGAATGACATGGCTCAAAATCATTTGCAATGGCGCAGATGCATCCATTTTTTTCTTCTCTGAAATTCTAGTCTTTTGAATTCCTTATGACCGTTTTTTCCCCCTCTCTATTTTTTAAATTAATTTCTCTGAAATGCACATCTAAAATGAAATCTTCGAAATTTCATCTTTTCGATTACCGCTAACACTCTTACTAGCTCTACTACTATGGCATTTGAGTTGAAAGTTTGATCCCTGGGTTATAATGTAGTATGACAACTTGAACTAATGTACGTTTATAAAAAGTTCTACGTTGTAGGTGACTGGCTGATTGACTGATATTAGGCGTTGGATCGCAAGACCGAAGGTCCTGGATTTGAATTCTGCGACAGAACTGGGGTTTTGAATTAGTAATACTGACGAGTACCATACCAGGACGAAACGACAACGTTTCAGTGCTTCCAGATTTCTCTAATGGTTTTTTAAAATTGTTCGATTCATGATTCCAAAAGTATCAAACTGGTTATCTGTTGACTGAGCGTTTTTCATTCAAACTATTTGCAGAAAACTGCATATAAATAAAGTTAGATATCTGATCAAATGTCTCTAAATATAAACAACAGTACTGAATATCAGTTGATGTAGAGATGAAATAGAGGCCATAAATATATCATCTTCCGTAGCTTCATGAAATAATATCATGTTTGTCACTCCAACTAGAGTCCTTCTAGGGTTACTATTGCTGGTCCAAAGTTCGGACAAAGGAGAAGGATTAGACCTGGGTTTATCAACAGTACCCCATAGAAAACCAACTCACCAAAAGAATGCTAACTAGAAAAAACTGTTCGATGGTCGGTAGCCTATGTTCCATGAAAGTTAACAGGCGTAGGTAAGTAAGTAAGTTGTCATTTGAGATTGATAGCTAAAATACAAGAGTTTGATCAGCTCTAAAAACTGAAACAGACAACAGTTACTACATACAATTCAATAATCAGTGTATGAGAATATTTCAGACCTAGAGGTTGTCACCTGAGGCTGAATATAACTTATTGTGAATGTTTGATCTAGTTTCGTACAAACGATAAATAAATCTAGAAATTCAGCGATCATTTTTTATTAGAGAAAAATCAATAATTATTGTTCATCCTAATTTTCTAAACACCCACAGCCTATTTATTAAGCTGTCTAAATTGATCTAATAAACATATATGTGAATTATATAATTTCGTGTGAAAAAAATCAAACAATTTAACATTCAATATTTTGTTTAAATGAGATATTATCACATAGTCGTGGTAAATGTGAATTTAATTAGCGTATAAGAATACATAAAGTTGTTGATGTTTCGTTTAAATCTAATTGTACGGAACCTAATTTAAATTTAATTGAATTAGTAAATATTGATAATTGAACTGCCATACAGTTTATGATGGTTTCTAGTGCATCCTCAGTAATAATTCCGTCATAAAAACAGATAAATTTAATTTTCAATATCAAATTAAGTTCCACGCGTTACGTCACTTGTTTATTTGTATAATTTCATACATTCATTGTTAGGTTTAAATATTTTTTTTTCATTCAACTCATATTTACGTCAGCTTATATATTAAGAAATTTCAATTCAATATGTCGTTCGTTGTTTTATCAGCGGGATTTAATTAAATTCATTGTTGTGTTCAATGTTCAATAGTCACATAATTATTATTTCATTAAATTTACATTCATTATTATTTTGGAGGTCTACATTACGCTAAGATTTATTGTACACATTTGATTTTTAAACATTTTAAAAGGCAGGTGATAAAAATTCTCACTTAAACCTTATGATTACTTCATATAAATATGTAAAATAAGGATTCCTTGTATTGTTATTATGATTATGATTATTATTATTGATGTTATTACTATGATAAACAAGTTCTGTTATGATCGAGATCTTATAAATTTGAACAATAAAAACATTGAAATTGAATATTGAAATTTTTGCGTCAATTTCAAATATTGACAGTTGAATTACATTGTACGCAAGCCTTGTTATTATTTAGTGATTTCTAAATGTTCCGAATTTTCATATTATTCAATTTAATAATTATTCATTTAAAAATTATCAAGACAATAAGTAGTAGTAGTAGTACTACTACTAGTCTGAATAAAAATCAACATAATTATGAAACGTATTTATTAGTACCAAATCAAAATATCTACAGTAGAAGTCATTTTTCAAATAAATTCATTCATGAAGAACATATTATTGAAGAATCTATTGAACTGCCGGAACATTTTCATGTCGATAATAATCATTCAGTGAATGCTTTGAATGTTTCCAGTATGAATTTGAATAAAACAAACATAAACTCATCACTGTCATCTTCATCATCAACATCATCATCATCATCATCATCATCTCAACCATTGAATGAGTTCAAACAAAAACAAATTAAAAGTCATCGGAAAATATTTCGTAAACATTCAACCTCCATAGATATGGGATTTAGTGGAAGTGTACTGATGCCTTCTTATGCCAATTCATTGTGTATTAAAAATATATATCACATCATTTTCATTTTAATATGTGTTACATATTACATGACGGTTTCATTTACATGAATGTTATTTTTCGTTCAATTTTCAATAATATCTACATGTTATTATTTCATCGATTTTTTTTAATATTTGACCTTGGGTTTGTTTAAATCGGTTGGTACATAATTTAAATGAAATTTAACATTACACCTCTAAACTTTCATTTTGTCTGACTACTCAAGAAAACTTTATTTCTAATGAAGTCATTTATCTATTGTCAAATCAATAAAAAACCGTGAGATGTGGTCTCTTGCTAGTTAAATGTAATTACTAATGCATACCTGCACTATTCTGTATCATAGAAAGAACATTCATTATATGGCGTTTTTTTCCAGATTAGTACAGCGAATACATTTTGCATATATTACAGTATTTTCGGATATACGTCCTATGGATTCTACTATTGTATTTATAAGTAGTTCTACACGAAAACAAAATGTTTTAGGTTGTAAGGAATTCAAAAAAATATTATTTTTGCGTTTATACAGTATAGGTTTATTGAATAAATGAAAGTAGATACATTCAATAAGAGAGCTGACGGGTTACTAGTCCAGTAACCACTGACTCAAATTTTCCTTCAGCCTTACACTCAGTATCTATAGGGTATTGTGATCAATAGTCTGTCAGGTTTGTTTCATTTTATAAAGTAACAACCGTACACTTAATAAACGGCGTTTCAAATTTAGTTCTCGACTTCATTTTCTGTTCTATCGCTTTTCAAAGTGTTTGCCGGTATTGGCCAGCACTATTCATTAATTTGACGCCTGCCTTCAATTCCGGGATCAAACTGCTCCTCACCCTTCCTGTTGTTCATTTGTTTTGAAAATTTGAAGCTGTGATTTGCTTTCAAATGCGGTTTGGTGATTTCAACCTAGAACTCTTCTAGGATTATTGTTAAATCCTAAACTCAGATAAAGTAGGAGTGTTTATTATGGGGTCACCTACATCGTATCGTTGAAAGGATCCTTGACAAAAATAGTGTGACCATATAGGCTTAAAAAAGTTTTATCATTGTATAACAAAATAATCTGAAAATTATTATTGTTACTTATTAATATGAACTCATAAAATGTGCAAATTTTAAGTTTGTTTAACATCTCATGAAGAATTGATAACCTTGAAACTTTAATTTAAAACAAATCAACCATTCAATAACTATTGAATCGAATTTGAACGTAGCTGCTGTTGGGATCGTTGTTAAATAATCACATCGAATGATATTTTTCTAAAAAGAAAAACAGCGATCAAAATCTTACATTAAGATCTTTGACAAGCATTACGAATTATATAACTGATAAAAAAAATTGACCTGTATATTAGATTTTTTGAAAAAGAATTTCACTGAACAACAAGTTAACTAGCACTGATAGATAATCAGTTTTCGAAATCACAATCGTCATGTTTAATATAAAATACAAAGTGTTCTTTCAACTAAAGATATTGTTTTGGAATTGTCAATCACTGTGAAAAAAATTAACTTACTTTTAATCTTTCTATAAAAGACATTCTGAATATGTCTCAATGATAAAATAGTTCTTTGAAAGTCACGTTGAATATGTATATATATACTTAATATTAGGTTGAAATGTCCCAATTATTATTATTATCGCTGAAGTAATCTGTTGAAAAATCGGAACATTTCATGCCTACTTAGTAGTGAACTGTTACACCTTAAAAAAAAAACATTGACTTAGATAAAATTAAATTATCATTTGAATTAAAATCGAATATTTTATTTGAGTTTTTTTTTCATAAAATGCAGTATATCTCGTAACCATAGTTACCATAAACGTTTACACTGTATACTAAATAGTTCATTTAAACAAGAACTGAAGTCATTTTCATTGTCTTTTTTGGTTACATTTTCAATAATTCCTGCTTTATTTGAGTTTTTGTTTTCAATATGGGTGTTAGAAAAAAAAATCTTAAAAGAAATCATTACTTCATTTTAGAGAAAAAAATAAAATAAAAGTAAACAGAATAAAGGAGGAACAATTTTTTAATCAAATGAAATGAAATTTTTTTCAGAGAAAATGATCATTACTAGTTTCGATAAACTCGGAAAAAAATAGAGATTTCTATTGCGATAAGTAAGTGTTTTCTGTAATCCATTACAATTCAGAGGTATTGAGGGAATAGATTTTTTCTTCAAAAACAAATGATACTTATAAGTATAATCTTTAGATATTTATAGAGCTAGCTGTAAGTAGTATCATCATTGATAATATGTGTGGTGAGATAAAATCGATCGTGAATGAGTGAACTTAACTCGATATCATACTTGTCATTTCTTGAGTTATTTAACATTCAATAAATGCAAGAGAAGACGACCAGTGTAGCAGCAGCCTCTGCAGCAGTAGGTCTCAATATATATAAAGGAAAAAGCAAAATTCTCCGATGCAACACAACATCAGCCAACCAAATCACACTTGATGGAGATACCTTGTAAAACATTAACACCTTTACATATCTGGCCAGAATCATCGACAATCAAGGTGGATCCGATGCAGATGTGAGGGCACGGATCGGCAAAGCAAAGGCTGCATTTCTATAGTTGAAAAATATCTGGAACTTCAAACAACTTTCAACTAAAACCAAAATCAGCATTTTCAATACAAATGTCGAGACGGCTCTACTGTATGGATCGGAAACCTGGAGAACTACCAAAGCCATCATCCAGAAGATACAAGTGTTTATTAACAGTTGTCTACGCAAAATACTTCGGATTCGTTGACCAGACATGATCAGTAACAACGTACTGTGGGAGAGAACAAGTCAGATTCCAGTGGAGGAGGAAATGAGGAAGAAGCGGTGGAACTGGATAGGACACACACTACGAAAAGCACCTAACTGCGTCACGAGACAAGCTCTCACATGGAACCCTGAATGTCAAAGGAAAAGAAGAAGGCCAAGGAACACATTACGCCGAGAAATAGAGAAAGATATTAGAGGAATGAACAAAAACTGGACAGAACTGGAGAGGGTATCCCAGGACAGAGTTGGCTGGAGAAAACTGGTGGGCGGCCTATGCTCCATTGGGGGTAACAGTCGAAATTAAGTAAGTAAGTAATTCAAGACGGCACGAATTTCCTATCTTCCCATTTTCTAGATAAGTCATTAAACAGAATAATACATTCACGTTGACAATAAATGATTTCCAAGTTTCTTCAAATCATTAGTACAGTTGTAATTTGTTCTGATTAAAATTATCTCAATTCAAATAAAGTGTATAAAACTATGGTATTTTAACGAATCAATGAAACATTTGAATATTCAATGTGTCCAATTGTGAGAAACACTTGAAAAATGTGGTCAATACATCAAATGTAAAACCATTTGATACGGTGTTGTGTATGTTGATAGTTTGCTTGTATTTTTGCATTAGTTTTGTGCGTTGTTTATCTTTATGCTGTAAGCGTTCATAATTCAACTTAAAAATGTACAAATTACTTGACATTGACAAATGAACTATTACCATTTAAATAGCTTCATATATATATATATATACAGTTTATTTAGAATCTTTATACAAAATTTCAGTTCATTTAAACTGGATATTATGCAACAAACCAGATGGTCATCTATATTCTATTCGAAAATCTGTTTTATGCTTATACTATTGAGTTTGTTAACTTGTCCTCCTGGTTTCGTATCATTATCGAACAGCCGCCATCCATCTGTTGAACAAATATTTGCCAAAGTAAAAGAGGCTGAATACACTGATTTATTGAGTGGCGTGACTCAAGACAACGAGCCCAACCAATTATTAGTTGTTGCACCAGTAAGATTTAGTCGTCTACGACGTTATTATCGACATCAAAAACGTATGTTGAGAGCACAGCATAGAATGATGCGATTACAACGACGTTTATATCGTCGACATTATCGTCCACGATTTGGTTATTATCCATATAGAAAATAATAATAATAATCATTTTCGAGATTCATTGACAAAAAAACACACAAACAAACAAACAATGAAACAACTTTTTTAACCTTGATTACTACTACTTATTGGTGAGTTCTAGTAGTGCATTGATTGTATTTTGAAATTTTTTTTTATCTGATTTGTATAAAACAACATTTTGTCCAGTATTCTCATCTGATTTTTCGTGTGTGTGTGTGTGTGTGTGTTTTAGTGATTTTGTTATTTTGACATTTTTTAAATTTACTTATCAATAGTTCTTATTAATCGAAATTCGTCTCAGAAGAAATTGATTTTAAAATAACTTTTCAACTGATCAAGTTTGCTGAACATGTTGGTTTCTTGTTTTCAATCTAATTTAATGTTACGTAAGAATTTTATTGTACTAGGTAATATGAAAAGTGATTACCGATTCGAAGTTGACAGACAAAATTAATCGATCCCTTATTTTTGATTTCATGTTATCTATAGTCTAAAATGACAAATTCTATTATACACAATAGAAAATATAAAAAATTTTTTTGTTTTTTGAGTACAAAACTTGTCGTTTGTTAATTTGTATGACTTTAAAGTTATTTACTGTTTAAATGCGTGCAAATTGAAAACAAGTGACTCTATAATCGTTTTGTTTGAAAAAAAGCTTATTTCACCAGTACATCTGAGTGAATATTTTAGTAAGTCAGAATACAAAATTTTTAGCACAAACTTTAGATGGAAGTGAAGCATTCGAATATCTCCACGTTTGACCTGTAGATTATTCTGCTAACCTCGATCTTCATTGGTTGCTGTTGACCTTAAACCTGCAGAAAACTTGTAGCTCAGGTGGGTAGGGGGAGGACAAAGAACATTAGAGAATTTTTAGAAGCTTGGCACTCCTCAGGTCAATCAGCAATTCACAAACACATCGACATTGACCCAATTCATCAACCAATCAGAAAAATCATAGCCAAACATAGGATCAAGAATCAGATCGAAAAGGGGATACAATCAAAACAAATGTGCAAACAACGACAGGTCAAAGGTCAACAGCAACTAATGAAGATCGAGGTTAGCAGAACAACCTACGAGTCAAACGTGGAGAAATTCGAATGCTTAACTTCTATCTGAAGTTTGTGCTGATGATGTTGTTGAGGTCAGAAGAACAATGAAAGCTTCACAACGAAAACATCCACAGCTCAAAGAACGAAACATCACCACAATTTCAGCTACGTTTATCACCTAATCTGCCTTGTCATCATATTTCACAGATTCAAAGATTTGTGCCATAAGATAAATTCTAATGTTAGTCAAAATCAGGTGTTTTGTTAGAATTTAGAATCTTCACATTACACTATCTAAAGCAGTCGATATCAACAACTGAATTAATTCGTAAAATGTGATAATGAGTGAATAATAACAGAATCTTTCAATAATTCCGAGGCATAGCTGACATGCGAATAGTATATACACTTTTGAAACCATGAATCGTTCACTGTTAGACCAACATTAGAAACCTGAAAGCACTGGACGGCCGTTTCGTTCTGGTATGGACTCCTTAGCAGTGTGCATCCACGATTCTTGCACCCAGCAGGATTCGAACCCAGGACCTTCGGTATTGTAGGCGAACGCCCAACCATCCGACCACTGAGCCGGTATCTAACGGTGTTAATGTCTAACTTGATCAAATTCACGGAGTTGCGCAACCTCATAAACAATCTTCGGTAGTTACTATCTACACACCAACAGGCTGAACTTCAATGGTCACGTCTTCCTACTAGAACTCGGAGAAGATTCCTCACGAAGCTAGTCACTAGTGAGCACAGTTAATTTGCATTACGGGGTGGTGAAGATTGTTAAGTTAAACGTTTTCGAAACCATGAATCGATCAATGTTAGACCACCATTAGAAACCTGGAAGCACTGGACGGCCGTTTCGTCCTGGTATGAGACTCCTCAGCAGTGTGTAACTTAACAATCTTCACAACCCCGTAATGCAAATAGTATATAGTTTTAAAAACAAAAACGTATTCGTCAATTTCTGTACGTATTTCGTTTAATTTTTTGATAGACACTGTCATATTGAATCACTTTTTCACTTCAATGTTCTATCGATAGGCTTGTCGAATAACCTTATTTGTTCTGTACAAGTTTTAAATTTTTTAAAGATTAGCACTGTTTTATATACATAACTGTTTGTAGATTAGTTTGATTAATGCTTACTTAGTTATTGAGGCCTGTTGCACTTGATGAAGAATAGACTGCCGACCAGTATTCTCCAATCTACTCTACCCTGAACCTTTTCATTCCTGATTAGAATGGATTTTAGTAAGGGTAGTTAAACCAACCAGAGTTAAAAATGCATAAATAATTGTGATGGTGTTTCGTTATCTGAGCTGGTTGTTATGGTTTTGGAGCTTTCATTGTTCTTCTCCCGAACAACATCATCAGCTTCACTTCTATCTGAAGTTTGTGCTGATGATGTTATTCGGCAGAAGAACAATGAAAGCTCCACAACCAAAACAACCAGCTCAGAGAACCAAACACCACCATCACAATCATCCACCTGGGCTACAGGTTTTCTCCACCATCGCATAAATAATTGCAAGAAATTAAATTTTACTATGTATGTTGAGTGAAAATAATTATTATCTGCAATTTATAATCTACATAAGATGTACTTACTTATAAGGTGTAATTAATTTTTAAATGTAGTTAGTATTTTTTGCCGGAGGATAAGTTACTAGATCAGTAGCAATGAACGAACCATTGTTTCAAGTGTTTGATTTATTGTATCACAAACTATTTCAAACTATGAATAAGAAAAAAAGAGAGATTAATTGCAAACTATTTCACATGAAAAGAAAATTTTGGAAAAGGAAGCATTTCTGCTTTATGTTAGATAGTCGTGAATATGATATTCAAGTTTTTCCAGTATACTAGGTTGAAGCAATTAATTTGATAAAAGGTGTATTAAGAGTTTGAAAGACTCAAATTTCAGTTGGTCCGATTCTAACCTAAGTGTAAAGTTTAAGTTAATAAGACTGGAAATAAAAGTTTGGTATGCTAAGGCTGGTTAAAAGTAGTTTGTACATGAAGTTATGTGAACCGTTGTTAGGGAGATTAAACTATATACAACCCAGACAGACAGAGAGAGATACAACGCAGAACTTGGTACATAAGTACATCAGTTCAGGTTGCCATACAACATCAGCACACAGACGCAACTATCATTTCAAATACAAGAGTGATAGCGATCGTAGAAGTATTAGCAGTAATGAAGAAGATTAGGGAGCGAAGATATGATTCGAGAAGTATAATTCAGTGAGATAAATTTAGAAGGAGAAAGAAAGAGATAATGAGGAATTCAGAAGGTTAGAATTAGAGAGAACACAAAGAGTGGATGCACCCGTGCCATTGCAAATGATTCTGAGTCATGTCGTTCAAAGTCTCTAACCATTGGTGACTTTCGTCTCGCGGACCCCAACCACGTAGTTTACACCTAACAACATGACTCAGTCCACTTGCCAATGACTTTATGGATTTGTGCCATGTTTTGGTCTGGCAGCCCCTAGCTTTCTTCCAACCTACTCCTGCACCACAAAACATAGCTCGTCGTGGCAGTCGGTGGTTGGGCATTCGTTACACATGTTCCAACCACCTCAAGTGATGAAGTTTCACTACTTCATCTACTGATTCGCCATCCCTACCCGGAACTCGTTTTCTAACGATAGCATTGCTTACTCGGTCGTCCCAGGATATACGAGCAATGCTTCGGATACACCTATGATTGAAGACTAGTAACTTACGAAGTCCCGTACAACCCAGAAGTTAATGGAACTTCAAGGTCTACGGTTGAATCTATTCTAAGAGGAACTGATTGTAGGGATACTTGGTTCCTAAGTTCATTAAAGTATTAAAACTAATTAACACCTTAAACTATTAGGAAGATTCGAAAATGAGAATTGTTTCATCAAAGTAAATCTATGAGCATTTGAAATTCTAAAGCTGCAACTTTTATTATGCGTTTGAAACGTTGACATTGCCGAGCTCCATACGGACAGTTTTGCATTTGATTTGATTCACGAGGTGAAAATAAGTACATCGCCATAAGTTTGTCAGCATATGGAAAGTGTTGGATTATACCGTTTGCCACCGAAAAGACATTCAGCAACTCAGCATCGACAACATTAGTTTAAAACAAGGTGAACACTTCTCTGATCCGTATATTCATCAGTTTTATTGATTTTCCCCCAAGATAAAAATACTTTCGCTCTTATGTGCATGAGTTAGTTAAATGTGTCTTTACGAACAAGTTATTTGGCTTATTTTATCTAAGTTGAATACTTTTCCGTGTTAATAGTGTCTTCTAGCATGTATCAATGATCTCAAGTCTCAACTGGAAATTCCTTGTCAAAAAAGAACTAGTTTAGTTCGTTTCTGAAAGTTTCTGCTCATAAATAAAACTTGCTGTGATAAATTCGCACCATATAATATTAGATAATTTTTGAATTTGATTCCATCTTCTGTAAACTTATTACATAATCAACCAAAGTTTCATTGTTTTTAATTACAAAAATGGATTTTCTAGTTACGTTTAAATGTTCCTATCTTTTTTAAAAAAAATTTACTTTTCATCCTTACTTCAATCAGTAGTAGTCAATGGTTACTTTTTAACATTTATACAAGAATTCATGAGAGTTTTATTATTCCAAGATGAAAGGAAAGTTGTTTGGAGTTCAGCTTTCAAGTCACTATAACAACCAATCAAGATTGAAGGCTAACAAGAGCAATCTACGAGTCATACGCAAGCATACTTCAAATACTTCATTTGTGCTCACTGATGTCTATGCTGATGATGTTCTCTCAGAAGAAGAAGTTCCAAAATCAAGTCAGAGAAATGATGGAACTCCACTACGAATTTTCTTCACCGACTCAAAATGTTATATCATCATAGTACCACGCTTAAATTTAGCCATTGATTAGAACTTTTATAACTTTGAAAAACTTCCAATTAGGGTAAAAATGAAAACAACCGGAAAAAACGTTATCAACATGTATCCGTTTTACACTTTTTTCCTAGCTCTATTTCATCATGCTTTCTGCTTACAAAACTTGTGTACATGTACATTCAACAGTAAGCCATTAATAACAAGTTTTAGTTAGTTTAGATTTAACATATAAACTAATAAACACCAATTAACAACTGATCATATCAACAGATAATTTGATTTTAAACAATTACTGATCATTGTACGAATGTCAATATTGAAACGTTGAACAATCAGATAACCATTTAGATTGCAATCAAAACTACTCACACACACACACACACGATGATGATGAGTTTAACTCATTCAATCGTTCATTTATTCAATTTATTGTAATCAGATTCTTTAGTGTTTAAATTAATCGATGTTGATTTCGAATTTGAGTACTTCATATTTTTAGCTACAATGAATTGTACATGTCTATTTGATTGATAGCCATTAATTAGGTCAATTCTTAATTACTACTACTACTACTAATAATAATAAATATCACATCAATTAGTTTAGGAAACTGATATACAAATATCAATTAAGGAATGTAAACATTGTTGAGTTTAACTTGAATACACAGAGAGATCAATGAACCTATGAAATGGCTACTGTTCAATGCTTCCAAGTTTTAAGATGGTGGAGAAGATTTGTAGCTCAGGTGGATGATTGAGTTGGTGGTGGTGTTTGGTTCTCTGAGCTGGATGTTTTGGTTGTGGAGCTTTCATTGTTCTTCTGCCGAACAACATCATCAGCACAAACTTCAGAGAGAAGTGAAGCACTCAAGTCAATCAGCAAACAACAAACACATCGACATTGACCCAATTTATCAACCAAACAGGAAAATCATAGGCAAACATAGGATCAAGAAACAGATCAAAAAGGGGATTTAATCAAAACAAATGTGCAAACAACGACAGGTTTAAGGTCAACAGCAACCAATGAAGATCGACGTTAGCAGAACAAGCTACATGTCAAACGTGGAGAAGTTCGAATACTTCACTTCTGCTATCTGAAGTTTATGCTCATGATGTTTTTCAAAAGAACCATGAAAGCTTCACGACCAAAATATCCAGCTCACAGAACCCGAACACCATCATAACAAGCTTCCAAGTTTCTACGATTTCAATGATATGTACAAATATTTTTGATTTGCAATAAAATTAAACATTCTAGCTTCAAACTTCTTTACTATACACAACTCAATTCAGGCTACACATGATTAACTAATTTTCTATTATGTACAATCGCAAAGAAGCAACAATCATTTGGCATTTAAGTACTACTTTCTGTTCGACTGAGTACAGTATTGCACTCTATGTTGATTGATCGTAAATAACTGTAAGAGATTACTTGAACATTTTATTTTAAATGGTTCTTAGATACATTCAAATGCTAGCTTGAAGCCAAAGAGACTCCATTTAGTTGGAGTCAGACAGAATTTCAAGAATATCGATGTAACATATAGTGAGTTAGACGCTTGTGTAACACTGATGTTTACAGAATTATGACATTTTCAATATTTATATAAAAAAATCATAAATGTATTTGATTTTTCCTGTACATTAGGACATTTACTGAGGTAAACCCATCTTCTGTTTTCTTGCAGCTTTCGATTTGTGATACGGAGGGCAGTGGTTCTACTTGTTCTAGTGCTGAAAGTTGTAGTTCTACTTAGTTGTATCAAGTAGCAGACTTTGCATATTTCAATTGACTTATCCTAAATGAAATAAATCACACAATGATCAAGTCACTTGAGATTTAAACACGAATTCTTGAATTTCACAGTAATTCTTAATTCTTCTTGTGTAACCTATTCATGAGAATGATATATGACGTTCTTATTGGTAAAGTTTGATTGACTGACATTAACCGAATTGTGCAATTTGGTGAACATTTTAAGCTGATCGTTAAACTCCGCCCGGAGCCACCTCCCTGGAACAATGCCCGGATAAAGGAGAAGAGTTAGGCGTCTCGTTAAAAGAAACGCTAACTAGAAAAAATCAGTTCAAGCCATTTAATTATTAAAGTAGTTTTTGGAATCCTATTGATACTAGGAAAATTTCATTATTTCCTGTCAGCAACAATCTCAGAATAATGAACTTCCAAATACAGATCATCTTGCGGACGAACATTGTTGATAAACCTTAGACTACAATAAAAAACATTGTTTTTACACTTTCTGATATGTTTTGAAACCAAAAATCGATCTATATTAAACCACCCTTAGAAACCTGGAAGCACTGAAAGAAGGCCGTTTCATCCTAGGACGGGACTCCTCAGCAGCGCGCATCCATGACTCCTGCACCCCCAGGATTCGAACTCAGGACCTTCGGTATTGCAGGCGAACGCCTGACCACCGGACCACTGAGCCGGTATCTAACGGTGTAAATGTCTAACTTGATGAATTCGCGGAATTGCGCCATCTCATACACAGCCTTCTGTATTTAATGTCTACATCCGAACAAGTTGAACTTTACTGGTCACGTCTTCCCACTAGAAGCCGGAGAAGATTCCTCACGGATCTAGTCACTAGTGAGCACAGGTAATTTGCATTACACGGGTTGTGAAGATTGTTAAGTTTTTTTGATTGATCGATTCATGGTTTCAAAAAAACTTAACAATCTTCACAACCCGTAACGTTTTGATATGATGAACATAGCTCTTCATCTTAGACCGCAATCTTCCCGAGAATCATTAATCGTTAAAGATCATAAATGGTGGTTGAATCATGACGGATTCTTGATTTCCGTATAAAACAACTTAAGTATTATTATTATTCAAGTAAGTAGTGAGTTTTTCACATAAAATTTATCTTAAAATTGTATAATCTTCAATAATCCTTGATTTATTTGAAGTTTATTTTGTAAAACAAAATAATTTTCATTTTTTCAAAATATTCAAACTGTACACTCTTAACAAGTGTATTATATACTAAAGGGATTATTTATGAATTTACAAGATTTTTCTGTACATTTGCGAAAAGAGCTCTATTTTCAAACTAATATGAGTAAGGGAAGTGTGATCATGGCTTCTATAGAAATTCATGATATTGCCAGTCCGTATTTCATATTCAACATGCTTTGATTCCACATTGATCAACAGTTTCTTTTTGGAATTGTAGGGATTCTATCTGAACGGTTGTTTCATCCTAGTTTTACATTTTTCAGCTGTACTTATCCACGATGAACTTACATTCAAGAATTGAATTGTTATTTTCAATGATGATTATTTTAAGATCAACTCATGATGTTTAAATTTTTTGTTGAAAGCTCTCTAATCCCCTACCAAACTCTGAATTGTTACAAAGACAAAGGTTGGAAAATCTTATATTAATATTGTGAATTAAATCGTGAGAAAATAGTAAGATATAATTCGAGAGACATACTTACTTACTTACTTACGCCTGTTATCCCCAATGAAGCATAGGCCACACACCAGTTTTCTCCAACCAACTCTGTCCTGGGCTTCCCTTCCCAGTTCTGTCCAATTTTTGTTCATTCATCTCAAATCTATCTCTATTTCTCGGCGTAGTGTGTTCCTTGGCATTCCTCTTTTCTTTTGACATTCAGGGTTCCATGTGAGGGCTTGTCTCGTGACACAGTTAGGTGCTTTTCGTAGTGTGTGTCCTATCCAGTTCCACCGCTTCTTCCTCATTTCCTCCTCCACTGCAATCTGGTTTGTTATCTCCAACAGTAAGTTGTTGCTGATCGTGTCTGGCCAAAGAATCCGAAGTATTTTGCGTAGACAACTGTTAATAAACACTTGTATTTTCTGGATGATGGCTTTGGTAGTTCTCCAAGTTTTCACTCCATACAGGAGAAGTGTCTTGACATTTGTATTGAAAATCCTGATTTTGGTTTCGGTTGAAAGTTGTCTGGGGTTCCAGATATTTCTCACTTGTAGAAATGCAGCCCTTGCTTTGCCAATCCGCGCCCTCACATCTGCATCGGATCCACCTTGATTGTCGATGATGCTGCCCAGATATGTAAAGGTGTTAACGTTCTCCAAGGCATCGCCATGAAGTGTGATTTGGTTGTTGCATGTTGTGTTGTATCGGAGAATTTCGCTTATTCCTTCGAGAGACTTATAATGTTTTAAAAATTATTATTGCTCATAGAACGATTACTTAATTACTTGCGACTGTTACACCTAGTAGAGCATAGGCCGTTGACCAGCATTCTCCAACCTACTCTATCCTACGACTGTCCTATTTTTACTCATTCTTCTTATGTTTGTTTCCATCTCTCGGGAGAATGTGCTGTTTCATCTTCCTTATTCTCTTTTCACCTCAGGAATTCTAAGTGAGAGCTTGTCTTGTGATGTAGGTGGGTGCTGTCTAATAAGTGTCTCCTATCCACTTCCAAAGCGGCTTCCTGATTTCTTCCTCGGCTAGAATCTGGTTTGTTCTCTTCCACAGATATTTCTTCCTAGTTGAAAATTTCTCATACATCTACACATGTGATCGAATATCGAGATAAATCAAAGACTTATCAAGTTTCTAATTACGAGACCAGAACCTCTCTAACTATTTTCGCAGGACTCTTGATTGATTTTCATCCCAAGTCACTTCTACAAATTTACAACATGAAATTTTTGAAAAAAACATCCTTAATGACTTGTTAATTTACATAAAGCCTATAAATTAAAATTACTATTGTCTGTAATCTAGTTTTCAATAAACACTCGTTCAATTGTCAATTTTTAAACTAGTCAACAAGTGATCGAAATGATGGCGCGAAATTTCTATCAATATATATATAAATATTATTTAAATGTAAACAACAATGAATATCCTGTCGTTTGAAATACACTTTGAACAACATAATTGAAAGTGTTCGTAACTTGATTTCACAAAAAAACTTCATGATCTATTGTGTATAAAACTTGTATAACACGACAGCTATTATAATTCAATATAAATAGTCAGTAATTAGTTGAAATGAAAAATTTTTCCAATTATCACTTGTATTGTTGTATAATTTGTGAAATAAACATAATCTATTCACTATTGAATTTTTGGATGAATACAAAATTCTGATAATCATTTGTGATGATGAAATTATCAACAGGATTATTATCTAGTATGTGGTTGATCAGTGTTCTATTATGTTTGCAATGCATGATACAATCTTCAGTGACATCTAGAATTCAACGACCATTGATGAGTCACATCTTTTTGAAGGTCGACGAGGCCGAACGACAATTCGATCTTCAGAAGAATAATTTTCCTAACGAACCTGAAACACTAATGATTAGTCCAGCAAGACCTGGTATTCATAAAAGGCGCAGACGAGATGACAGACGTAAATGGAAAAAGAATGAAAAACGAAAACATCGTTATTCTAGGAATTCTCGTTTTGCACAAAATAAAATGTGATTTAATCTGGATCCATTTTGTTCGTAAGTTTGAACAGATATATATATATATCAATCGTGAAAATCACTCACCTATCACTGAGAAACAGTAACTTTATTCAAAATTCAATCTTTGAAATTATCATTTAATATTTTATTAAATCTCTGATTTTTATAAAACTTTTTGATAATGACTTGTTACAATGATTTGTTTAAATGAACATTCATAATTTTTGGCGTAATTTTCAAATCGCACATTATGAAAATGTTATTTTCTCATTTTACAGCACTATAATCTTTCATGATTTGTTGTTATATGACTGACACAATGTGTGAAAATAAAATTTAACATGATCATAAAGTATTACAGTTTGTTTTGAAATTTTCTAGAAAACAAATCAGATGATCTCATGCGTAAATTATCTGACGATAAAGCAGTAATTTCTGTCGTATTCTGTAGTCGTAGACATCATTGTGATTATTGTGGATAGTTTTACTACAGATGACAAGTTACTCACTTCATAATCAAGTTCTTTGTTGCAGGTAATAACCTTTACATAGATGAGCAGCATCATTGATGTGGACGGTGGATTTGATGCAGATGTAATGGTGCGGGTCGGTGAAGTAAGGGCAGCATTACTTACTTACTTACTTACGCCTCTTACCCCCGAATAGAGCATAGGCCACCCAACAGTTTTCTCCAGCCAACTCTGTCCTCGGCTTTCCTTTCCAGTTCTCTCCAATTTTTGTTCATTCTTCTCATATCTTTCTCTATTTTTCGGCTTAATCTGTTTCTTGGACTTCCTCTTTTCCTTTTGCCTTGAGGGTTTCATGTAAGGGCTTGTCTCGTGACTCAGTTAGGTGCTTTCCGCAATGTGTGTCCTATCCACTTCCAACGCTTCTTCCTGACTTGCTCCTCCACTGCAATCTGGTTTGTGCTCTCCCACAGTACGTTGTTGCTGATGGTGTCTGGTCAACGAGTCCGAAGTTTTTCGTGTATAAAGCTGTAAATAAATACTTGTATCTTCTGGATGATGGCTTTCGTAGTTCTCCAAAGGCCCGCTCCATACAGTAGAAATGTGTTGACATTTGTATTGAAAATCATGATTTTGGTTTCAGTTGAAAGTTGTTTGGAGTTCCAGATATTTTTCAATTGTAGAAAAAGGGCAGCATTGATAGTACGGAACAACATCTGAAGCTCAAAACAACTGTCAACCAACATCAAAGTCAGAATTTTCAATACTAATGTTAAGAAAGTTCTACTGTATAAGGCGAAAACTCGGTGAACCACGAAAGTCATCATCCACAAGGAGCACATGTTCATTGACAGTTGTCTACGCAAAATACTGAGGACAATTTAGCCAGACATTATCAGGAACAATATACTGTGAGAAAGAACAAACTAGCAGAAGAAGAAATCAAGGAGAAGAACTGGAAGTGGATAGAACACGCTTGGTGGAAATCATTCGACGGCATCACACAACAAGCCCTCACCTAGAATACTCAAGTGGAAGGACAAGGGACTCATTACTCCGAGAAATAGAAACACATATGAGAAGAATGAACAACGATTGGATAGAACTGTAAATTAAGTCCTAGTACTGAGCCGGTTTAAGAATGCCGTTCGGCAGCCTACCCACCACTAGCGGTAACAGGAGTAACTAAGTAGGTAAGTAACAAAGTGTAATGTTAATATTTAAGTCATATTGACTTGTCGACTAACTCAGTTCGACTAGGCAACATATATATATGAATAAATATTTCCTGTTTCTCACTCTTACAGAAAGTTATTTAAAGCCTTACTAGGTCAATGATAACTTCTTTGATTCTACCACTGAATGAAGGGAGTTCCGCTCCCATCAAATAAACACTGCTTCCACCGTCTTTCAAATATACCACGTTTATAAATGAAAGGTAAACCAGTCTACTTATTTCCAACCTCACAATTCATTCATATATCGAATAAATATTCAAAACTTTTTAATTTCTTAAAATTATCTACAATGATCAATATATTTTTAATAAAGATTTCTTTTTAGATAATGAAACCAGTGCGTAGATTTTCATTAAAACATGAAGTTTTGCAATCGGATCTCGGTCTATTGAATAATTTCTGTGTTTTTCCACAGTTTTTCCACTCCACTATGAGTAGATGTATAAACTGTTTAAAAAAAGTCTCTCATCCATAAAATCCGAAATGCATTTACAAAAATTAGAGAGTTTTATTCAATACAATTCATAAAACATTCATAAGAATGGTAATGAAACTCCTAAAAGGTACCGTGAATGTCAGATTTACTTAAAGCGTCCGAAATTCATGATGTGTAAACAATGACTTGTCATTAACGTTTATTGAAGAAACGTTAATATCAAATCGGCTACAGATGTTACAAGACAGTTGATGGGTAAGAGTTACTTACAAGTTCAATATTTTCAATGAAATACATAGAGATTTCAATTAGTCTTAAGTCTACTAAACAAATCAAACGTTGATGTTTGAACGCTGAAACCGGAATATAGGTGGTTATCTTAATGGGCCGTGCACTGAGCTTTCGAGATACGGGCTTAATCTACAAGACAGTAGGACAACATTAAGAGATGCAATTTCATGATAGCCACTAACTATTTGTTCCATCAGGATACCACAGACCATGTACATCATTGGTTTGGAATTAAGGTTTTTTGACTTCTCTCAGTGAATGCTTCCTACTCATAAACCCAAATAAAGCGTGAGACACTCACTTTTCATCGGGAGAATGCAATAAGTAGAACTTTCCTGGCAGTCTCCATACAGGCGTGGTCATATGAGGGCATTTTGAGAAGGTTGTGCAGGCTCTACTCATTCTTGACTGTATCAGAGTATTCGGTGAGTATATTTAATGAATATCGTTCAAATTCACGCAAGTTAATCTGTTTATCGAGTTAAGAAAGGTTGTATACTAATGTTGAACATAAATATTTTATCTAATGATGCTGAATAGTAATTCATGTGTACTAAGATCAAGTAAGTATATGAGAGCTACAGAGATTTAAATATTCAAACTATTTTTTTAATGAATGTTCAAATTAAAAATGCAGTTATTAATTGCAAACGCGTTTATTTATTCTACTAAAAATATTAAACTAAAATAAAAATAATGAGATTCTAAATTTTTTCAAACTTATTTGTCAGACTTCGATCAATCCACGGTCTTGCCAAGCCTTCGAGTTCTAGTGAGCTGACGTGATCAGTGGAGCTCAATCCTGTTCAGGTATGAAGCAGTGAGCAGCGAAGATCGTGAATGAGGTTGCGCAAGTCCATGGATTGGTCGAAGTTATACGTCAACACCATTAGATACTGGCTCAGTAAACCCGAGCTTATGCTTTTGAATCCAGCTGGTTGCAAGTGTCGTGGATGCTCACTGCCACTGATGAGTACCGTACGGTCGTCCAGTGCTTCTATGTTTCTAATGGTGGTTTAATACTGATCTATTTATGATTACAAAAAGTAAGTCAACACTCTACACAACCATCTCAAGCAAAAGTATGTGTATTGCAGAGCTCATTTATAAAATTATAAGACGAGAACGTACTGATGCAGTTCACGAATTTGACTCATTTATCGTACTTCGATAAATCCGTTTGTGGAAATAAAATCAACGAATTCAATTACAAGTTTGATAAGGCGCCAACTGACAGATACAACTCGTCAATAGTAATTCCTAATCATAAAATTCAGGATTGAAAGTAGCATTTAAAGAGAAACCATACAGAAATACGAACTTTGGAACATTGACTCGTGGTTTTCAACGGACATGAACTGAAATCTTCTTAGTAATGTAACATGTGCAAAGGAATGAACTGTCATTAGGGTTTATATTAACCTGTCTAGCATTATTGATGATCAATGATATTTCCTACGGATGATATCATTAGAAACCTGGAAGCAGTGGACGGTCTCGACAGACAATTGTGCCGGCATCCAACGGTGTTAATACCTAACTCCAATCAATCCAAGGTACTTCTAAATCATACCTAACATCTTCAGTAGGAAACTGCTTACACTTGATTGGTTTAAACTCCACTGCTCAGGTGGCTTTACTCGAACTCTAGGAATTTCCTCACGAAGCTAGTCACTAGGGAGCTCAATGATCTAAAGGTTAGGAGTTCACTAGCAAAACAGAAGATCCTGAGTTCGATTTATGCCAAGTCAGGTTGTGGATGAGCACTGCTGAGAAGTTCAATTTAAGGACGAAATGGCCATCCAACGCTTACAGGTTTCTAATGGTGGTCTAACAGTGATTGGACCATCATTTCAATAAAAAATAACTATCACGATTATTTCTGAAAATTGACGTTTTTGTTTATAGTAATATTTTATCCATTTTAATGTTATTTTAGTATGAAACAGACTGCCTATAATTGTTATTTTTAAGATAAGATTTTAATAACAGTCGGTAGGGAAAGCTTTACAAATATCTACTTCATAATATAAAGCATAACAAAGGTTAGATCAACCATTAAATGTCAAACACAGTTTATTCGAATGGTGTATCCTTTGTGGTAGTAATTATACTTCATAACTGAAGACATATAGTGGTTACATTGAATAATTTCTCTTTCTCCTGGTCATCGACTGGATTATGAAGACGTCAACATCTGGAGGGAAGCATGGTATCAACTGGACAGTTAGGACGCAGCTGGACGATCTGGACTTCGCACATGACCTGGCTCTTCTATCCCACACTCAACAACAAATGCAAGAGAAGACGACCAGTGTAGCAGCAGTAGGTCTCAACACACATAAAGGAAAAAGCGTAATTCTCCGATGCAACACAACATGCAACAACCAAATCACTCTTCATGGAGATGCCTTGGAGGACATTAACACCTTTACATATCTGGGCAGCATCATCGACAACCAAGGTGGATCCGATGCAGATGTGAGGGCACGGATTGGCAAAGCAAGGGCTGCATTTCTATAGTTGAAAACTACCTGGAACTCCAAACAACTTTCAACCAAAACCGAAATAAGGATTTTCAGTACAAATGTCAACACATTTCTACTGTATGAAGTGGAAACCTGGAGAACCACGAAAACCATCATCCAGAAGATACAAGCGTTTATTAACAGTTGTCTACGCAAAATACTTCGGATTCGTTGGTCAGACACCATCAGCAACAACTTACTGTTGGAGAGAACAAACCAGATTCTAGTGGAGGAGGAAATGAGGAAGAAGCGTTGGAAGTGAATAGGACACACATTCCGGAAAGCATCTAACTGTATCACGTGACAAGCCCTCACATGGAACTTTCAAGGCAAAAGGAAAAGAGGAAGGCTAAGAAACAGATTAAGCCGAGAAATAGATTTAGATATGAGTGGAATGAACAAACATTGGACAGAACTTGAGACGGAAGCCCAGGACAGAGTTGGTTGGAGAAAACTGGTGAGCGGCCTATGCTCCATTGTGGGTAACAGGCGTAAGTAAGTAAGTAAGTAACAAGTATCATTTAAACAATGAAGTTAAATGTACACATCTGTCGTTGACAGTTTGATTTTAAGCTGTGACTATATAATTGACAGTAAGTTAATTATGAAATGCGCAGACTTGACAAAATGAGTTCATTATCTCGGACTAAGTGAATAGTATATATATATCACAGTGATTTTATAATGTTTTTTTGTTGAGTTCATATCACTTGACCTAGTTAGAAAATGTTCTTTAATTCATATACATTGATAAATAAATAGATGAAGCCTCCATAAATCGAAAATTTCAACTTGATGATATGAATTTCAGTCAAATCAATCTTTATCATACATTTTGATTTAGCTAACCGCTTACAAGTCAATTAAGATTATCAATGATATGAACACAGTACAGATTAAGGGTGAAAAATAGTTTGTTCAGTAAATAGATCGTCGATATAGTAAATTTGTATTTTATAGAATCGACCTGAGCAGCTGTAGGTCTAAACATACACGATAGGTAAAGCGAGATTCTCCGATACAACTCAACACGTATTAACTGAATGATACTTGATGGAGGAGCTCTGTAAAGACATGGAACTTAAAACAACTGTCAACCAACACCAAAGTCACAATCTCTAATACAATTGTCAAGACAGTTCTACTTTATGGGGCGAAAATTCCTAAAACTACAAAGCCTGTCATCCACAAGATACAAGTGTTCATTAACTGTTGTCTACAAAAAAGACTTCGAATCTGTTGAGCAGATGGCATCAGCAACAGCCCACTGTTGAAGAGAAGAAACTGGATTTTAAATGAGGAATAAATTAGGAAGAAACTCTGGAAATAAATTAGACACACAATAAAAAAAGCAGCCAGCTGTGTCAGAGAGTAAGCCTTAGCTTGACACCCTTAACATCAAAGGCGAGGAGGAAGACCAAACAGCAGATAACGCCAAGAGATGGAGACAAACATGAGAGAAATTAACAAGGACTGTATCGAAGTAGAATGGAAGTCCCAAAACACAGTAGGTTGGAGAATGCTGGTGAGCGGCCTATGTTTCATCGAGGGTAACAGGCAGAAGTAAGTAAGTAAGTAAGTAAGCAAAATTTTGGCTTTTTGTTCAGGATAACTACACCCTGAATGATGAATTCCACAATTAACTGCAGTTCAAAAAATACGTGATCAAGCGATCCATCGAAGAGGATCACATATCACCAGTGACAGTACTGATTGAGTCAGAACAATTAATAACAGGAAAACGAAATCCTCCACCATTATACAGATAAATCAAGCTTATATGATTTGGAACGGATGGTGTAGCTTCATTTTCTGAGCTTTTTCTCTTAACCCACATTAGTTAGTTTTTAAATACCTAATACTGTTATTGTTTTCAAATGGTACTGTCCGTTTTTATCAATAAACTGTCTGTTAAGTTATGATAAATAATTTTATACAACATTAGTAAATAATATGGTTCAAAGTACAATTTTTCTTTGCACAAATTTATTGATTTTTTATTTGACCATGAAATATAGTTATCTATTTTTTTTTGATTTAAACAAAGAATATTTATTAACTTACAGAATTTTCGATTTTCCAATGGTTCTTGATTTTCTTCCGGATAAAACTGGAAATAAATAGAAATATATAATTATTTTATCAGTATACTATGTAATCTCCTTTTAGGTGTGAACGAAACAGAAAACGACCTACTCTTTGTTCAATGTCAAATATGATATTTTCGGGCAGAGTTTTGGAGGTTTGTGTTTTTTTCACATTTCAAATCATCAATCAATCATTGTTAGACCACCATTAGAAACATGGAAGCACTGAAAGACGGCCGTTTTGTCCTGGTATGGGACTCATCAGCGGAGCGCATCCACGACTCCTGCACCTCGCAGGACCTTCGGTATTGTGCGCGAACGCCTCATCATCGAACCGCTGGGCAGGCATCCGATGGTGTTAATATCTAACTCTGGTTGGTGATTTCAAATGTGTAGAAACACAAATCTCCAAAACTCTAACTGAAAACATCGTAACAGTGCTCAGAATTGAGTAATTCTATTTAACTAGTATAAATTATAAAACTATCTAATGTAAGTCAGTGATGATAGGAATAGAATCTATGTTGTAATCTCTCTCCTTTCTTTTTATTATACAGTTGTAAAGATTGTTTGACTGTTAGACGGCCATTAGGAACCTGGTAGCATTAGACGCTTGTTTCGTACTAGTATGAAATACACCAACGATAGGCATCCACGATTCTTATTCTTTAACTGATTGAAGTTAGACATTCGCACTGTTGTACGCCGGTTCAGTAGTCTAGAGGTCAAGCTACCACGTGTTGGATTCTTACTAGCGGAGGGTAGAGTGCGCACTGCTCACTAGGAAAATATTCTCTATCAGTTAGATGTCAAAGTCATCTTTTATGTTTCATTGAATTCAGACTAGAAAGTATGAGTTCAACATTTGCCTATTGTTAAATCCATGTTAACACACTTAACTTTTGAATTTAAAACAAACGTGTACAAGTACTTTTGTGTCGCCTAAGCTTTCAGACAATTTTCGATCATTTTTTGACTGTTTGTAATTTTTTATTGTTGTCCAAATATTTGTTGACTATTTTTTTTTTAAAAATTTATTAATATTATCTAACAGAGAGTTTATCTGATGAAATTTTTTCTAATGATTACTTTGTTTGGCCACTGTTATTTCCCTTTTTACTTCTAAATAACACGCAAACATGATTTTCTAATCATGGTGTAATCATTTTACTACAATTAATGATGTTAGTATTTGTTAAGTATATATATTATAATTTAAACGTTTTAAATTATCCAAAACTAATTGAAAATAAATTTTATTCTGTCTATTTACTACTTTTAATTAGATTTTATCTTTGTATAAAAATTCTGATCAATTTATTGTTATTTGTGCAAAAGTTTGGTAGATATGATTTGGAAAATATTCACTATGTCGAGTGTTTGGCAATCCGCACCGATGACGATAGTTGATATTGCAAAAGACTATGGGTTGATTGAAGTAAGAAGTTAAAACTAATTGATACAGGCCTGGTGGTTTAGATTCTAAGCGTTCGAGCACCAGACCGAAGGTCGCACTGCTGTTAAGTCATGAAGTTTAAGTGATTTATCATACAATATTTTCGAGATGATTTTGAACTGTTATACGTATGTTACATTACTTTATTTTTGGTCAAGGCCAAATACAGAACGTACCATTTATTTCGTCTCAGAGGAACTTATTCACAGGCATCCTATTCAATTGTTGTAATCAGTTATTTGCAAGTAGTTTCATGTTTTAAACAAACATGGTTTGAATATTAGACACTGAGTTGTATCCACATATACTTAGACAGTATGGCTGACAATCCAATATTTTATTTGTAATGCATTCAACACCTTTCTGTACCAATCTCTAATTCGGATTATCATTCTGTCTTAATCTCATGCTTCTGTTGTTTCTGATTATTGTCGACTGCTTTCTTTATTCAATTATGTAAGTGCATTCTCTGTGCTTACTGATTAGTAAGCTCACTTATTCTTTTGATCATGCCCCTTTCTAGATTACCTCATAGACTGGCTCTATACACGTTTTCTGTACACAAGTTAACTTGTAGCCAAACACAAGCTTTACAAAGGCTGAAGTTACATCTCAGCATTTCTGCTTGTTATTATTTAACTGTTTTATACTCAAAGATGTGTTGTTTTTGATTAGCATCGGTCGGTTTCATTAAGAAACCTTTACTTATGCACTATACGTTCGTCGCTTCATGCGAAATGACTTCAGGTTTGACGTCAACCACTGCAACAACTTGTCACCATTTTAAATAACTGAGTCAAAGCATCAAACATTTCGCTTATAAGCATAGTCTCCTTCGATGAAAACGAATGAAGAATCTTTTAGATGTAATGAATTTAATAGGTAAATTTAAAGGTAAAGAAGAACTGTTTCTAAAGTTACTTTGATAACTATTATCCTGGGATGCGGTTTTTCCCCTTGAAGTGCAAAATGTTGCTTCAAGACTGGATTGCTTCAGCGCCTGAACTATTGATAAGGAGTGAAGTAGTCGAGCGCGTTGATCAATTCAACTATCTGGGCAGTGTCATCAGCGCTGATAACATGGTGACTGACGAATTCTCAGCGCGGACACAGTAAGCTCAACTGGCTGTTGCCAATTTACGCCGTTTATGGCGTATGCGAGATATCCATTCGCTAATTAAAGGACAAGTGTACTGCGCAGCAGATCACTTCGTTCTCCTACATGGATGCGAAACATGGCCGTTAAGAGAAGAGAACTTTCATAGATGACTAGTATTCGATCATAGATATCTTAGAAGCATTGCTCGTATTTCCTGGGACAACCGAGTAACCAATGCTGTTATTAGCAAGCGGGTACTAGGTAAGAATGGCAGATCAATAGATGATGTAGTGAATCTTCATCAGTTGAGGTGGTTGGAACATGTGCCTCGTATGCCTAACCATTGACTGCCTCGACGAGCTATGTTTTGTGGTGTAGGAGTAGGTTGGAAGAAAGTTAAGGGCGGCCAGATCAAAACATAACAGAAATCCATGAAGTAACTGACAAGTGAATCGAGTCATGTTGGTAGATGTAAACTACGTGGTTGGGGTCCGCGAGACGAAAGTCATCAATGGTTAGAGACATTGAACGACATGGCTCAAAATCGTTTGCAATGGCGCAAGTGCATCCATTCTTTGAGCTCTCTCAAATTCTAATCTTCTGGAATCGTTAGCACCTCTACCTTTGTCTTTCTAACCTTATCTCACTGAATTATACTTCTTGCATAATATCTTCAAACCCTAGTCTTCTTGATTACCATTGATACCTCTACTATCTCTACTATCACTATGGGATTGGATTTGACATTTGCGTCTCTGTGTTAATGTGGTTTAGCAACATAAACTGATGTACATACGTACGAAGTTCTACATTGCAACTGACTGACTGATACTGGATCTATTATTCTCGATATTACCACAAGTTTAAGGTATAATCAACTGATCAACCTTACTGAAGAAAAGAAAATGTCTTTGTCAGCTTACCTGTTGACGTAGTAAAATTCTATTCAAATTTCGATTGAATTCACCAAATCGATTTATTGGATATTTTTTCTCATGATCATTTAATGACCATAGATCTTCTGCATTAGTCACATCGTCCACCGTTGGATAACTTCTTAATATACTCAAAGAATGAATTGGGGAGATTGTTTGACATAGACAAAATATTTGTAAATAAATCAATAACTGTAACAGATTTGGACAAATTCTTTCCGCATGTTCAAATGATGTTAATTTGAAAGAAGCCATTTGAAATATATATATGTATTTCTGAAAAAAGAAAATAAACAATACAAAAGTGTTTACTACTAAAATCAATATATAAGTAGTTTAGATTATACTAAGATGATCCCAGTGCATGAAAGCCGTGGAAAATACAGTTCATTTCTTCTTAGAAATTTTTGAAGAGTTGGCGATTATCGATAATCGATAACTTGATAAAAATCTATCATTCTAATCACATACTCATGTATTGCAGATAACCAAGTACTTCCATTGACATACTTTCGAGCTAATTGTGGTGGTGTTTCGCTCTCTGAGCTGGTTGTTTTGGTTGTGGAGCTTTCATTGTTCTTCTGCCGAACAACATCATCAGCACAAACTTCAGATAGAAGTTAAGCATTCGAATTTCTCCACGTTTGACCTGTAGCTTGTTCTGCTAACCTCGATCTTCATTGATTGCTGTCGACCTTAAACCAGTCGTTGTTTGCACTTTTGTTTTAATTGTATCTCCCTTTTGATGTGTTTCTTGATCCTATGTTTGCCTATGATTTTTCTGATTGGTTGATAAATTGGGTCAATGTCGATGTGATTGTTGATTGCTGATTGACCTGAGGAGTGCCAAGTTTCTAAAAATTCTCTAGTGTTATTTGTCCTCCCCCTACCCACCTGAGCTACAAGTTTTCTCCATCATTTCGAGCTAATTTTTGCGCAATCAGTTTTATTGTTGAAAAATAAATACTTTTGTGAACCATTTCAATTTATTGTGTCTCTGACGTTTAGAAAAGTAATGATCATGAAATCTGTGTCAGTAGTACCAGTTGCCTCATTACTTAACTTTGCAACTTCACTCTGTCAAGCTTATAATCAATGGTTTGTTAGTTACATCGCATTGTGGTGCTGTGGTGCGAACTACTTATAAGTAGTATATAACGTGAGTGTCAACGTAAAGTCTGGTAGCATAATATGGGGGGAAGATCAAGAAAGGAAGAGTTAGAAAACAATGGAATTTGTATGAAACGCATGAATAGTGACAATGGAGTGATGTTTTGCAACAGGAACAGTCCAGTTCCATAGGATGAACTGATCTTTTGCAAATGAACGATTTACGATATGGTTTTCCGATTGTACTGTGTAACTGTAATTTTCATTGACTATCTTGCTTAAAGTGAGCACAACAGTTTAGAACTGAACTGAATGTCACTTCTTGTCAATCGATCCTTATCAATTGCTTAATAGTTTAGATTAATACAAGAAACATTAATCATACTTCACATTTGTTCCAGTTATGTTGTTTTCATGTGAAAGTAACTAGACAAGGAATTGTTTTTTTTTTATTTAGCGCATATTGAATTCTAAAAAATAAAAATTTATAATTCAAACACAACAATGAATAAAAATAAAATTACGAGTAAATTAAATTAGGATTTTTTTGAAACAAGTACAAAACAATGATTTATGCCTTGATGATATAATCGAATATAATAAGAGAAATGAACATATATGTGTGCATTATTCATTTGTCTGTCAACTTGATTTCGATTTTTCCACCATTAAAAACTGTCATGTTACACATTTGGAAAAAAAACACAAATCATACATTGTTTAAGAAAAATGTAGTGGAAAAGAAGGCGTAAATAAAAAAACTCATCCTAATCAAACTGATTGATATAAACTAATAATTGAAATAACCAACAGTCAGATTAGGCTAACACGCACACACACACATACTGAGTTCATTTGTGGAGGATTTTTTTGTAAAATGTACTATATTAGTAAATAATTTAGCTTTTCATTCTCTGCATTGAAAACAATGACAAAAAAATATGTTTCATTAAGATAATACAATTTGCATAATTTCGTGTATTTTTTTCTTGCTTTTGTGAGCGGTGTTTTTTTTCCTGCTAGACATGAGTGTTTAGAATAATGTGATTGTTTGAACGTTTATAGACGTGTGGGTTGGAAAATATCTGGAACTTCAAACAAGTAATAGTCAACACCGAAATCAGGATTTTCAATACGAATGTCAAGATAGTTCTATTGTATGGAATGGGACTTTGGAGGACTGTCAAAGCCATCATCCAGAAGATACAAGTATTTATGAACAGTTTTATGCGCAAAATACTTCGGTTTCGTTGGCCAGACACCATCAGTAACAACTTACTTTGAGAGGGAACAAATTAGGTTACGGCGGCGGAGGAAATCAGGAAGAAGCGGTGGAAGTGGATAGGACACATTCTGCGAAAAGCAATTAACTGTGTCACAAAACAAGCCCTCTCTTGGAATCCTCAAGGAAAAGAGGAAGGCCAAGGAAAACATTACGCCGAGAAATGGAGAAAGACATGAGATGAATCAACAAAAGTTGGACAGAACTGGAAAGGGAAGCCCAGGACAGAGTTGGTTGAAGAAAACTGGTGAGCGGCCAACGCTCTATTAGGCGTAACAGGCATACGTAAGTAGGTAAGTTAGAGATATGGTATAATTCGGAATAACGGGCTGATATTAGTGATTGTATCCAGTTAATATTTGATTATTGTTCAAAAAAGTTCAATGCCTATGTTTTATAATGAATTATTTCCCTGTTATATTTCAATCTAGATGATTGAAATATAGTCAATGTGAATCAAAGTGTTCCAAACTGTTATCTATCATCAAAATCAGTGTTGTGGAGATAGTTTAGTTTTATTTAAACCATGACCGTCTCGTTCGAGTACGGTACTCTTCAGTAGCATTAATTCATCACCCTAAGCCCAGGGCATCAAAATCGCGTGTGAACACTCAAGCTAGACATTAACACTGTCTAATGCCATTTCGACAGTCTAGAATGAAGAGTTTGCACGTTAGCCCTCAGATCATCAGTTCTATTCCCATGCGTGGACTCATACAAGCATACCATTGACGAAAAAGATAGGCGTCCAGTGTTTATCTATTTTAAAAGTTAGCCTTACACTGTTTCGGTGATTTAGATAATCGATAGAACTAATGATGACTACAATTCCAAGTGAATACTTGTACTTGATAAATGCTTATTATCGAAACACTTTGTATCATACAGGATATCGATATGTCAAATGGAGACTAGTCATCAACTATAGTATCGCACATAAATGAGAAGATGCAAGCAAGTAATATCATTGATTTCAAACTCTTGATAGAATGTTTTTATAACGTTTCGTTTGTTCAAAAAAGTTAGTAAAATAATATGTAAGGATTGTTGATTCAAGGCCTTTTATTATTGGTCTTTTTCGACAAAAGACATTTTTAAAAAACATTTTAATCTTATGTATTCTGTGGAAGAGTGTAATCAAGTCAGGAGTAAAAATATGATTAGTGGTAATCTCACTGATATGAAAGATGAAGTCACCGAAATCAATGAGGAATGCATAACATTGTGTTGTACATAAATTCTGTCAGAAAATTTATAATTACCTATTTAACAAAAATTGCTCCTACTCATATATTGAGAGATGGTAACATGAAAATCTAGTCTAAGCCATGAATATTAAATGACACACGTACGCCCTGTGTTAAATATCGTAGATAGATTGACATGAAACACAAATACATGTTGATAACCTCTAATGAGCAAATAAGAGAAGTGAACTTATTTCTACAACAAATAATACATGGATATTAAAGGACGAGTGTACTGTGCAGTAATTCGCTCCGTCTTACTTTATGGCCGTGAAACATGGCCAGTCATAGTAGAAGATATTTGTAGCCCACTGGTTTTCGATCTTAGGTGTCTTCAAAGCATTGCTCTCATATCTTGGGACACACGAGTGAGCAACGCTGTTATTAGGTAACGGGTGCTTGATAAGGATGGCAGATCAATAGATGAAGTAATAAAACTTCATCAGTTGAGGTGGTTGGGACATGTGTTACGTATGCCTAACCACCGAGTAGGTTGGAAGAAAGTTGGTGGCGGCCAGACCAAAACATGGCACAAATCCATGAAGTCAGTGTCAAGTGGATTGAGACATGTCGGTAGGTGTCGACTATCTGGTAGGGGTCCGCCAGATGATAATAATCGATGGTTAGAGACCTTGAATCACATGGCTCAAAACCGTTTGCAATGGCGCCGGTGCATTTATTTTCTGGATTCTCTCAAATCCTAATCTTCTGGATTCTTCAACACCTCTAGTTTGGTCTTTCTAAACTTTTCTCACTGAATCATACTTCTTGAATAATGTCTTCTAATTCTCACCTCTCCGATTAATTCTAATACCTTTACTGACTAACTCTACTACTGTTGGATTTGAATTGACAATTATATCTGTGTGCTAACGTGTAGTATGGCAACATGAACTGATGTACTTACGTACGTACGAAGTTCTACATTGCATTTGACTGACTGACTCAATACATGGATATCAATAATTTGAAAGTGTGAATTAAACAGAGTCATTTATTAAGGTAGTTAGTTAGTTAACTGACATGAAATATTTCGTCCTTTTGTTTAAGCAACTATCTAATATTCTTCAACTCATTAGATTCTAACACAAGGTTGATTTTTTTTCCAATCAACCATGTATATGATGGATTGACATGAGTAATGAACCATGAGTATGAAAAAATATTATCCAACCTAATACAATTTATAAACAAAATCAATAATTTACGAAAAAAAACTACAACAGTCGTTTTTTTTGATCAATTATCAATTAATAATATTAATTATTTAGCATGAAGAATTTTTTTATTATACAGACAGATTCATTAAAACAAAATCTGTGAACAATTGAATCATGAACAATTGTGATAAAATTTTGATTGTCAATCAATAATAACTAGAATAAATAACATTTAGATTAAAATGAAAATCTTAATTGATATTGTGGTGCGCGCTACTTATAAGTAGTATATGACGTGAGTGTAAACGTAATGTCTGGCAGCAGAAGACTGAGGAAGATCAAGAGAAAGGAAAAGTGGGAACACACTGGAATTTGTATGAAACGCATAAATAGTGAAATGTCAGACAATGGATTGAAGATTTGCAAATTAACGGTTACGATATGGTTTTTCTATTTTACTGAGTAACTCTGTAATTTTCGTTAAATACAATTCGGTTGCCCTCACCTGTGTTCTCCTTCACTACAATATAATTAGTTGGATCTTTCGATGAAAGCGAGCCTCAACTTAGTTAGAGCAAGACAAAAACTCTTTCTATGATCATCGTGGAACATTGAACATATCTGTTAATATTATCACGTGAGAGATATAACATTAACTAATGACTACAATCAGTAGCTCTTTCGATTTATGATTACAATGTGACAATTCGTAACAAAATTTAACATTAACTAAAGATCATTGGACATTGAAACTGTATGATACCCAGTTATCATATAGGATTAATTTTTCAACGGGATATCATGGAAAGTGTTTACAAGAGAGGACGCAAAGATGTCAACCTTATACTGTAACTGCTGTAACTTAACGTGGAATGACAATTTAAACAAGACTTAAAGGTGTACTATATGCGGATCCTGACACTTTCCTGCCGTTTTATGTATAACCCCTAAGTAGTTGATAGTAGTTATGAATATCTTACATCAAATAAAATTGTTTAAACTTGAAATATCAGTTAATAATTGAATTTATTAATTTAATCAGTTAATTAATCATATAAATATTCATTGTTAATTTGACAAGGATTGTCATTTATTTTAAAAAAAAACTCTGCATGAATCGCTTCTTGGATTACTATTGGTCTGAAGTCAGGATTAGCAAGGAGGATTGAGTGATAATATCCCGTAAAAATCCAACTCACTACAAAAAAAACATTTGCCAGTGTCCTATTTCCCGTTTAGGGGTAACAGGCATAAGTAAGTAAGTTTATGATGACCGATCCAATTCAAATAGTAACTGAATTTAGAGACAAATTTAACTTAAATGAACATTTTTTTCAAAACGCTTTCACTACTGAAGTAAAAACATATCGTTACAAGTTAAGAAGTAAAATTATCATCTCAATTCTTGGGAAACAAAACGTTAGTTTATTAACAGCTGTCTACGCAAAATACTTCGGATTCGTTGGCCAGACACGATCAGCAACAACGAACTGTGGGAGAGAACAAACCAGATTCCAGTGGAGGAGGAAATGAGGAAGAAGCGGTGGAAGTGGATAGGACACACACTACGAAAAGCACCTAACTGCGTCACGAGACAGGCCCTCACTTGGAACCCTCAAGGCTAAAGGAAAGGAGGAAGGCCAAAGAATACACTACGACGAGAAATAGAGAAAGATATGAGAGGAATGAACAAAAATTGGACAGAACTGGAGAGGGAAGCCCAGGACAGAGTTGGTTGGAGAAAACTGGTGGGCTGCCTATGCTCCATTGTGGGTAACAGGCGTAAGTAAGTAAGTAAGTAATTTTGTGTACTATATTTCAATAAGAAACGAACTGGTCTAGCTAACAGGTAGTCTTTGTAGGCACACTTATCCACTTTCATCGAAATGATACAGTCTAAAGTTATTCTACATCAGTGCATAGATTTGACTATAACATAATAAGGTTAATTTCAACAGAAATCTTCACACTATTGAAATACTATTGCGACCTAATAATCATGATATTATTATTCAATGTATTCAGTTTCTCTAAGTTTTGTACAATGTGAACTTGTCAACACTTTTTCCAGGCTAAACAGATTGACAACGCTCATGGATTGCACTGATTTGTACTTTCTGAACTAATCAATCGTGGAGGTTTTACACAAACACACACACACATACACCTAAATAGATGACTGACATGCTACGAAATGACAAACAAACCGGTAACCTGTTGATAAATTTTCATGTAAACATGCAGTTAGTCATGATATTCATAGAGAAGCTGACTTTATTTTCTCTATGAGACCAGTGTAGTAAGTGATGTTATATATTTGAGATTAACTCATAATCTATCTATTGTTCAAGTTCAATTTGGTTATTTGACTTGCAATGAAGTAGTTTTTCGAAAAATAGTATCATAATTCAAAGTAATATTATCATAAACAACGATAAATTAACCTATGACTTTTCATTTCTTCAACATTAACAAGCCCAATGTAGGTAATTTTACATATAACAAAAGTGAATATACTCATTTTAATACAAATTTAGTAAACTTACTTTAAATTTATGTTCAAAAAGATAAAATTAAAAATTCTTATTTTATTATGATTTGTGTATATTATATATAGTCTTCAAATAAATTTATGGAATAATTGTTAAAGGGATCTTGAATATGTTATTATTGGCTATGATTGAATCAATTGGCGGGAAATTGATTTGATTGGTTAAAACAATCAATCTGAATGAAGCAATTGAATTTCAAAATTTTACGTTACAATAAAGACCTACTTAATTAGTTTTTTCATGATTGTGTGTAAATAAAGATCATCAGTCGAATTTTTGATCTGTTAAATCTACATTTTGAGGTATTTCGAATGGGTTTGGTGACCTGATATACAAATGATCATCAGTAGTTCCTCAAGGAATTAGGATAGTTTACTTGAATGCTTCATGTGATCAGTTGCTTACTTATCGATAGAGTAGAGTAAATGAACAATTCAGCTTAGATTATTAATCTGAGTTGTTCTTCATTTTCAAAACTATCCTATTGAAATAGAATGTCGATTAAGTTCGGTTCCGTTTTTTAGTGATGAGGGGTCCCATACGAGGACTAAACGGCCATCCAGTGCTTCCAGGTTTCTAATGGTGTTATAAAATAAACCGTTTCATGGTTTAGAAAATGTGTAACTTAACAATCTTCACAACCCCGTAATGCAAATTACCTGTGCTCACTAGTGACTAGCTTCGTGAGGAATCTTCTCCGAGTTCTAGTTGAGAAGAAGTGACCAGCGAAGTTCAACCTGTTCGGGTGTAGACAAAAAACTACCGAAGACTGTGTATGAGGTTGCGCAACTGGGTAAATTGATCAAGTTAGACATTGACACCGTTAAATACCGGCCCAGTGGTCGGATGGTTAGGCGTTCGCCTACAATACCGAAGGTCCTGGGTTCGAATCCTGCGAGGTGCAGGAGTTGTGGATGCGCACTGCTGAAGAGTCCCATATCAGGACGAAACGGCCGTCTTTCAGTGCTACCAGGTTTCTAATGGTGATCTAAAATTAACCAATTCATGGTTTCGAAAATGTGTAACTTAACAAACTTCACAACCCCTTGATACTAATAAGTTACGAATGAGGAGTAAAATGAGATAGACACCATTATATGGTGAATATCAAAGTTTCATAAATCTATATTAGACAAAGAGGATATTGTTGTACAACGTGGGAAAATAAACAGTCATTCAATGCCATTGTATTTTGTACTTCACTAAATGTTACCCTAATCTACTGGTTTTTTTGTAAAACGTATTATTATTAATGTTATTATTATTGATCAGGTGAAGTATTCACTTAATGATCAACAGAATCGTTTAATTTCAAACAATATTCAATGAAATTTGAACAGTTTTATCAAAAATTTTCTGATTAAGTTCCGACAATGAAATCAAAAGTATCCTTGCTCAAAATACTTGTCATTGTCAGTGAATAAAATAATATAAACTTACTGAGGATTTTTTATCTCGGGAATAACAATATACTTCAAACACTTCAACTTTTAAAAATATGTTTAACTAATTGTCTAGCCCAGTCATTACCCTTTCCAAATAATTTTCACTGATAATCAATAAAAAGTATACAGTGCGTTTTTTTTATTCAAACAGGTTTAAACTACTGAAATAATTGTAAAGGTAGATAGATAGATTTGAGAGGATGATTTCAGTGGAACTCAGTTCACCAATTAAGTGAAGTGAACATGAAACTTTCTTCTTAGTCAACATTAACAGCGACAAAAAGCGGAAAGATATTTTCCTGTTCAACTGATGATAAAAGGCATTTATTTAGCTGATACAAAATGACGCAAATTCTCACATGATATCCATAAGCCGGGATGATTTTGAAATATAACCTAAGGAAGACAAGGAAATTTTCTTTGGAGGCATGTGGTACTTACAATTGTAAGTAGCAGATAACCGACCAAATACAAAGATTGTAGATGAATATAAAGTCAGAATTCTATTTGAAGTGTAAAAAAGTCATTCAGTCAGTTGCAACGTAGAACTTCGTACGTACTGTACATCAGTTCATTTTGCCATACCACATTAGCACAGAGACACAAGTGTCAAATAAAATCACATATTGATAGTAGAGATAGTAGAGGTATCAATGGTAATCAAGAAGACTAGGGTTTGAAGATAATATTATTCAAGAAGTATAATTCAGTGAGGTAAGGTTAGAAAGACAAAGGTAGATGTGATGACGATTCCAGAGGATTAGAATTTGAGAGAGCTCAAAGAATGGATGCACTGGCGCCATTGCAAACGATTTTGAGCCATGTCGTTCAATGTCTCTAACCATTGATGACTTTCGTCTCGCGGACCCCAACCACGTAGTCTACATCTACCAACATGACTCAATTCACTTGTCAGTTACTTCATGGATTTCTGCCATGTTTTGATCTGGCCGCCCCTAAATTTCTTCCAACCTACTCCTACACCACAAAACATAGCTCGTCGAGGCAGTCGGTGGTTAGGCATACGCAGCACATGTTCCAACCACCTCAACTGATGAAGATTCACTACTTCATCTATTGATCTGCCATTCTTACCTAGTACTCGTTTTCTAACAACAGCATTGCTTACTCGGTTGCCCAGGAAATACGAGCAATGCTTCTAAGACATCTATAATCGAATACTAGTAACCTACGAACATTTCTACTCTTAACGGCCATGTTTCACAGCCATATAGGGGAACGGAGAGAACTGCTGCGCAGTATACCCGTCCTTTGTTTAGCGAACGGATATCACGTCTAAGCCATAATTGTCGCAGGTTGGCAAAAACCAATCGAGCTTACTGTATCCGCGCTGAGATTTCGTCAGTCACCATGCTATCAGAGCTGATGATGATCAATACGCTCAACTACTTCACTCCCTATCACTAGTTCAGGTGCCGATTCAACCCTGTCTTGAAGCAGAATTTTGCATTTCGAGGGTGAGAACCGCATCCCAAACATACTTGCGTTGTTGCTTATGGTAGTCAGAAGATTCTGCATTTTGTCAGCGTCTTCACCGAATAGAACTATGTCATCGGCATATTCTAGATCAGTTAGCGACTTTCCTGGTAGAAGGTGAACCCTTGAAAAATCTGACGAGCTTAATGTTAACTCTAAGAGGATGTCTACGACAAAGGTAAACAAGAATGGAGAGAGTGGACAGCCCTGACGGACACCACTTGATGTAGAGAATTCAGATGACAGTTCGCCATATGCTCTCACCCAACCAGTAGTGTTCGAGTAGAGAGCTTGTATAAGGTTAATGTACTTCTCTGGTACACTTTTTCAAAAAAGAGTAAAATAGTGTAAAGGTGATTGGCTGACAGCAGCAGAACAGTTTATATTGATGACCTATTCAGTATAAAACAATTAGTCCCTTTTATAAATTTTAACAGAACAATGAGAAGACCAGAACAGTTACGCTTTCCTAGCGTTCTATTCAGTTTAAGTTTGGTAAAATGAACTGTTAGGAACTGGCAAATAAATACAAATACCTCACTTACATTTGAAGTCTATGTTGATGATATTTTCTGAAAAGACAAAATGAAAAAAAAACAAGAGTTTGTAGTAAAGGAAACGACTTTAAACTTCACATTACCAAAACTGGCTATCAAAGTTTACAGTTAAAATTTTTGCAACTTCACCTCTTGACTGTCTCATTTCAGCATTTCTTATCAGTTTCTTAAATAAGTTTATTAAAAATGCTAGATTGATGATTTTTAGAACAAGATTAGAAACTTGGAAGCAAAGGACAGCTGTTTTGTCCGAAGTAAGGGACTCATTGAAACTGCGAAACTGCGAACACTGTTGCATGACAGTCCAGTGATCTGAAGGTTAAGTAAGCATTCACAGGTGAGATGGAAGGTCCCGGGTCCGATTTCCGCCTGAATCGGTCGTCAATGAGCACTGCTGATGAGTTGACTATTGCCACTAAAGGGTCCTAATGGTGGCCTAACAATAAATCTCAACAATCTTCTGAACTCTATCATAAAAATCAAAAATAGCTTAGTTGTTTCTTCACTTATTTTCTAAATATCTGATTGAGCTTTTTCGATCGAATATAATCAGAGTAGAAGATATTCGTAAGTTATTGGTTTTCGATCATAGGTGTCTTCGAAGCATTGCTCGTATATACTGAGCAACGCTGTTATTAGGAAATGGGTGCAGATGAATAGATGAAGTAATAAAACTTCATCAGTTGAGGTGGTTGGGACATGTGCTACGTATGCCTAAACACCGACTGACTCGAAGAGCTTTGTTTTGTAGTGTGGGAGTAGGTTGGAAGAAAGTTAGGGGCGGCCAAATCAAAACATGGCACAAATCCATGAAGTCACTGACAAGTGGATTGAGTCATGTCGGTAGTTGTCGACTACTTGGTTGGGGTCAACGAGATGATAATAATCGATAGTTAGAGACCTTCAATCACATGGCTCAAAACCGTTTGCAATGGGGCCGGTGCATTTATTCTTTGTGTTCTCTCAAATCCTAATATCCTCGATTTCTCAACACTTCTAGTTTGGTCTTTCTAAACTTTTCTCACTGAATCATACTTCTTGAATAATATCTTCTAATCCTAACCTCTCCGATTAATTCTAATACCTTTACTAACTAACTCTTCTACTATTGTATTTAAATTTACAATTATATCATGCAAATACCTCACTTACATTTGAAGCTCTTGTTGATGATATTATATATTGGTCATCAGAACACAACTATGGCGAAGCTGATAGTAACTGATGTGTCCAAGAAACCACTGTACCTACAGTTACCTTTCAAAGGTGATCATTGCATGAAAATTACAACCAAACAGACTGCAGCTGCAATAAAAAAGACCTTCAATGCAGCTAATCTGAGGCTTATCACAACAACCCTATCGATCTCAGTTACCCCAATCAAGTCTCCAAGACCGATTCAATCCAAATCCCACTGTACATACCAATTCACATGTAACTGCGGAGAAAGTTACTTAGGGAGGACAGATAGCCGATTGGAAGACAGGATAGGGGAACGTATTCCAAGATGGTTAATCAAATCCATGATTCATCAACCTAGCCCATCATCTCAAAATCG